AATCTATATAAAAGTGGAGCTGCACAGTTCACCCCATGTTGTTCAACAGACAAATGTAATTTTTCTTCCCTTTTTTTTTTCATTTAGACAGCATGAAAAGCCCCCAATGTGTTCTCCTAGGCTTTTATTAAACTAATGTTCTGCTATAAAGAAAAACAATGTGCCCGGCTGGTGTGGCTCAGTGGATTGAGTGTCTAAAAATGCATCAGAAGGTCACCAGTTCAATTCCCGGTCGGGACACATACCAGGGTTGTGGGCCAAATCCCCAGTCAGGGGGCATGCTGGAGGCAGCCAATCGATGTTCTCTCTCATCAATGTTTCTATCTCTCGCTCCCTCTCCCTTCCTCTCTCTAAAAATCAATAAAGAAAAAAATATATTAAAAAAAAACTTTCAGTTAACAAAACGTAAAACTATCTTCAAAACCAGATAATTTCCTTAATATATAGCTTAAAAAATGTTCTTTTCACTACAAAAAAAAGTTGTGCTGAATTATCAAACTAGGCAAAGGTACTTTAAAAAGCTGTATATAAATCAACTGGAAACAAAAATACAATACCTAAAAAACTCTTTGGGACATTATGCAAGCATAAAAAAGAAAATCTAAAAATTCTACATTAAATGTAAGAATTAACTGCTAAAATATAATTTAAAATAACCTGTAAAAATATATTTCTTAAAATGAGCATGTGACCACTCAAGAGAACACAGGTAACATTAAATTCACCTGTAACCACAGGCTCCATACACTAAAAATCAATTCCCACTGTAAAGAGAAAGATTAAATATTTTAAAAGCTCAAGTCATAGAAAATGTAGTATATTAAAACAATATTTAGCCCTGGCCGGTTTGACTCAGCGGTTGGAGAGGCGGCCTGCGGTCCAGAGAGAACTGGGTTCGGTTTCCGCTAAGGGCACGTACCTCGGTTGCAGTTTGTCCCCGGCTCTGGTTAGTCATGCGGGTAGCGGCCACTCGATGTGTGCCTTTCACGTCGATGTTTCTCTCTCTCTCCCTCTCTCTCTCCCTCCCACTCTAACAAAAAATGAAAAAAAAAACAAAACAAAACAAAAAAAACAATATTTATAATAATACTAAAATTAAGAGACTGCACAATGAAAATATAACTAAAATTAAAGATGAAACAAATTAAGAAAATATTTGTAATCCATGGCAAAAGCAGAATATATAATTCTAAGAGTTCATAAAATAAGGATTAAAAACTCAATGGCTAAAACATCAATACAGAAAATATTAGGAAGCTAAATAAATATGGAAATATGTTTAACAAATACTCAACAAAATATAAATCAGTAATAAGCCATCATTTTACTTTAATATGTAGTAAAATTTTAACTCCCAATGATGCTATGGTTATGGTGCCACTAGTAGATCACACAATGCTGGTGCAGGCTTAAATCCACATAATTTTTAGAACACAATTTAATGATATAAGTCATTCTTTTTAATGAATATATGAACTCTTTTCATATGCTAGACACTGGGGATAAGCAGGAAAGTCACAATCCTTACTTCACACAATTTATAGCCTATTGTGAAAAGAAATAATTTAAAAGATGTCATCAGAAATCATGGTAACTATTTAAACAGAAAAAAAAGGGACTGCTCAGGAAGGTTACTAGACATACATGTATGCCAGTCTGACAGTGCTGGGAAAAATCGTTTGTTATTTACTGGTTGCCAAGCACCTTGCTAGGCATGGGGCTTACATGAGGAACACCACGTGGTATCCATCTGTAAAGTCAACAGTCTAGAAGTAGATTCAGAACCACAATAGATGCAATAGGTACAAAAATACAGAGGATACAGAGAAGGCAGGGGCAGTGGGCAGGGAAGGATCACACTAGCTGGATAAGAAGTGATGGTCACAGTAATTCAGGCAACAGGAAGGAAGAGGCCTTCAGGAGCAACTGTGAAAGGAGACAGGGAGTAGAGTCACTATGGACTGACATGTGGTCAGTCAGTCATAAACCAAGAGACAAACTACAGATGACATAAAGTGTGGGGAGCTAGAGCATGAATTCAGGTTTGAACAAGAGTGTCAGGCATCTGAATCAGCCAGGTAAAATGACCAATGTGCAGCTGGAAATACAGTTCTGGAGCTCAGAAAAGAGATCTGAACTAGAGATACCAGTTAAACAGAGTATCTTCAGTGGGGAGGGAAAAGAGCAGGAATAGAGGAAGGAATAGAGAAAAGTATCCAGGAGCAGAGAGATCAAAGAGCTGAGGACACTGGTCTCCAGAGACTGGTAAAGTTGAAAGAAAGAAAGGGGAAGTGGTAACCAGTGTCAAGCGGACAAGAAAAGTATGATTAGGCCCAAAAGAACAATACAGAGGCCAAGGGTGACTTCAATGAGAGTGGTTTTAGTCAGTTGGTAGGAGATGCTCCTAGTGGACTGAGGTGTGAAGGGTTGGTGGGTTTGTTTACGGAAGTAGAACCAGTAGATACTCTTATAAGAAGTTTGCTGGTGAAGGGAAAGAGTAAACAAGAATGCTTGAAGAAAAAAGGGTTTAAGGCAAGCCGTTGTAAAAATTGTATGTTTGGTTTTGTTTCAAGGACAGAAGAAACAGAAGAGGTGTGAGTGTTCTGACAGGCTGCTGGGAAGCAACTGGTCAAACAGATGACTCAGTAGTAGATGTAGAAACAATAACTAAAAGGATATATTTGCTCATCAACAGTGAAAGCACTGTTGATGGTGTTGAGGTAATTTTTTTTATATTATTTTATATTCATTGTATAATAAATTAATTGGGAGAAAATAATCCCCCCAGATAAACTTTGATCAAAATAAAATATAAAGAATTCAAACTGGGAAAGCTGGGACAGGCCAGCTCAGTGTCCACTGTTGTCAGGCAAAACGTGAGACTAAGGAGACAGTAAAGGGAATTTCAAAACAGCTTTACTCCTTTGAAGTAAGGAGGTGGGGCAGATAAGACATGCTCTTAGAGTCAGGGAAAAATGAGGTATTACTTACAGAAAATACTGAAATGAAGGGAGAAAATGACATGGCAATCACATGGCATTTTGGCTTGGCTGCACATTTGAAAAGAGTGAATAAATGTGAGGGATCCTAAGTTCTAATTAAGAAACGGGAGCATTAAGAAAATAATAAACTGGAGGAGCCAAAACAAAAGGAATAATAAGCAGAGGCTCCGGGATTCAGACTAAGTCGACTTCCATGGGCTACTCTTGCAGTTGAGGAGGAGGGAAGATTATTATTCATGCCATAATTTACAAAAGGATCTGGGTGGTATAAATTGGAGTACATAAAAGTTTTCAAACTTACCCAGATTCCACAGTGAGATTTATGACACAAGGCTGAAGACAGCAAGGTGGCCTTTGTCAATTCATCAGCAAACTTTTCTAAGAATGAAAAATATGGAGCCCTGCCCTGGCCAGTTTGGCTCAGCAGTTAGAGCGTCGACCCGCAGACCAAAGAGTCAAGGGTTCAATTCCAGTCAAGGGTACATACCTCGGTTGCGGTTTGGTTCCCCGGCCCTGGTCGGGATCATGTGGGAGGCAACCAATCGATGTGTCTCTTTCACATCAATGTGTTTTTTTTTCTCTCTCTCTCTCTTTCTCCCTACCACGCTATCTGACGATAAATGGAAAAATATCCTCGGGTGAGGACTTAAAAAAAAAGAAAAATATGGAGCCCCAATTCTCCAAAATTATGAACAAGCTTAAGAGTAAGATTACCTTTTAAAAGGATAAGATCATTTTTAAAAGTCTGAATAATCTTATTTGATTGATCCCTATTAGAATTTCAATCACTCCATCTTTTCCATAGCAACAAGATAAAATTAAAATATCTCATTTCAACAATTTTCTTACATTAGTTAATAAAATGCATAATGTATTGAGAATAAAAGAATTTTAAAATATATACTACTAATACATATTATATATTAGTTGTTCCCACCTAGATAACTTCACCTCCTGTCCTCGAGCCTGTTCATCATGCAGATGGTCCCTGTAGGAAGCCTTCCCTGATGCCTTTAAGATGATCCCACCTGATGACTCATCTGTTTCTCCCATCATTAGAGCTACAATACATCACTCTCTATTGCAATTTCAGGTTTGCTAGTGTGAAGCTCCAGTCAGAATGTAAGCTCCAAAGGATGGGGCCATATTAACCAGACTCACAGTCTGGTTCTTAGCACATAGCACTGTGCCTGGGAAATTGAATGAGTAAAATTAAAATTTAAATGAATCACAAGACACAGTAAAAGTAGGTGACTCTCAAACAAATTTTACTTTTGGGAAGGGCATTTCAGGCTACTGCCTCACTCTCCCTTGCCACTATCTCAGGGATAGAGGCTGATGTCCTATTCCTATCAATACTTGTTTCTTTCATTGAAAGTTAGAGTACGAAGGGGACCTGAGAGATCAGCCAATCCACTGCCTTCCTTATCCAGAGACGTGAACAAAGCCAAACTATTCAGTAACTTAAGTGGTCAATAAACAATGCCATATAATTTGCTTCTTCATTAAACCCTTACCTTTATCCTCCCATTTCCCAATATTTAATCCCTCTGCTAATAATCAACATAATCCTTGCCCAGTTGTCCCTACCCACCTACAAAATGTTTCTCACAGTATATTAGCTTTAAATTAAATAAATGTCACATATATATGTGTACACGTCTGTAAATGTCAGTGGATGTCTACCTTAAACCACCTGTTTATTTATCACTCTATCACCAGGTACCTAAAATTAGATAATAAATTTCCTAAGGACAATGGTTTATTTATCATAATAACATCTAAAAAAAAAAGGCATTTTATATGCAGTACATTCTAAAAATCAGTGATAACTCCAAAGTGGGGAAAAAAATAGAAAAATCAGAAAATCAATCATTTACTTGTATGATATTATTATAAGAAAAAAACATTTTTACATCCTATGTACTATAAAAAATATATCGACTATCTAATCTTACCTACACTGACTGATCTACCAATTAAATATTAATTGCCTACCTAAAAGCCGCTTCCCAAAAGCAGTTCATTCCACAAACATCAGAGGGCAGCATCCAATAGGGATTCCAGTAACACACAGAGAAATCTTTACACCTAACAGAGTAAGACAGAAAGTCCTATGTGAGTATTTCAGTTTAAAACTAACAAGGAATTTACTCAATAACATAATAACTTACTATTCTGTTTTACAGCAATAAAACTGCAAATCCAATTTTGCAAATTCAATTTTGCTATGTAACTTGAGGATTTTTGAAAATTGATTTCGCCATCACTTCGGATACCATTATTTTAAATGGAACTTTAAAACCTTAGGGTAGCATATGCTACAGACTGGAAACCAGTTTCCTGGTCAGGAACTCTCCTAATATATTAAGATCCCTTCCTTAGATGATACAGAAAATACAAAAGTACATCTAAAATTTCCCTTCATGGACTAAACATTTTCCCCTTAGAATAAAATCCATTTCAGCCAAAATATTTGCTTATCCATAAGCAAAATAAAAATGCCACAAATGCTGATATAAGGCAAGAGATGAACTTTAAATGTTTTCAAATTAATCCTCAGTCAAATCTACCTGTATGGTGTTTCAAATTGAAAAAATAAGGAATCACACTTATATTCATGGCTCAGTTTCATTATCTAAATTATGTCAGTTTTGCTATATTGCACAAGCTAAAATGGAGGTTCAAACGTGTTCTTTCTTCTTCCATTGCAGGCTGCAGCAAAAAACAAAACAATGCCTCATGTTACAAAAAGTATGTTTTTCATTGTTATTCCTTTTCAAAACAGTCCAGTTTGATATTCACTACAGTGGAGGCCTGGGTATTAAATTAAGCAAGTATGAACTCAGGGTGAGGCACTAAACCAGGTCACCTCACATCCCCTCACTATACAGCTTTGTTTTCTCTCTATGGATTCAATTATAAGTTACTATTCTTACAATGAAAGGTCTATGTAATTTCAGATTCCCAAAGATCTCTGATCATACCTCTCACAAATGTCAACGCCCCACACCAGACCTATTAAATCAATCTCTGAGAACAGGGTCAGGCACTGCTGGTCTTTAAAGTGCTGCCTAATTCTGCACACTTCTATATAATAAACTACAAATTCGGAATTTTAAAATCAATAAGAAAAAGTGACATTGTAATCTGATTTTCCTTTAAAGGCACACCATTTTCAAACACAACATAAAATGTTACATATATTCATTTATTTATTTATTTAATTGAAAGTATTCCAGATGTCCCTCTTTTTCCCCCCCGCATTGACTCCCCTCCTCCCCACTCCCACCCCTCCTGCTTTCCCCAACCTAATGTCTGTGTCCACTAGTTGTGCATATATGCATATAAATTCTTTGGTTTATCTCTTCCCACCCCTTCCACTCCCCATCCCTCTGAGGCTTGTCAATCTGTTTCCTACTTCCATGACTCTGAATCTATTTTGATTGACAGCTTATTTGGTTCATGATGTTCCATAAATGAGATAAATCAGAGTAAGAAAAGAAACTGTGTAGACCAGTAAAACATGCAACTTGATCAGGAAATTTGTTTGTCCCTTCCCAGGCATGGTTTTGTTTTTTTGTCTTGCATTTCATACTAGAGACAGACTCAGTGGTAGTGGTAACAATTAACACAGAGTTATTTTCAGATTCAAGTGCTTTCACATCCACTTAAGCCTCACAACAAACCTGTTCAAACAGATATCCCCATCTTTCAAATTCAGACATTATCACCTCTTTCTTTCAACAAATCCACAATTTATTTATAATCAATCCTACGGTACACCTTTGTTCCAGGAAGGAAATAACTAATCTGGTTATTCCATGTCCCCATGTCAAACCTTACAATGGTAGAAAATGGAAATGGACAATAAACTCTCAAAGAAAATTACTCCCTAATTAAATTTTTCTATGAAAATTATTGCTTGAAATTATGTAACAATACCATTTCCTGCTTCAACTTGGAATCCTCAATCCCTTAGCCCTAGGCAACCATGGATCTACTTTGTCTCCATAGATTTCGCCTGTTATGAGCATTTCACATAAATGGAATCATAAATATGTGGCCTTTTGAGTCTGATTTCTTTCACTTAGCATAATATTTTTAATGTTCATCCACTGTAGCATTTATCAGTATACTTCACTCCTTTTTGTGGCCAAATAAAATTCAATTTTTATGAACAGATATATACATTTTGTTTATCCATTCATCAGGTGATAGATATTTGGGCTGTTTTCCAGTTTTGGACTATTATATATAATGCTGTTATGACTATTCACGCACAATTTTCTTGTGAACAAATGTTTGCAATTCTCTTGAGTGTATACCTATAAGAGGAATTGCTAGATCATGTAATCATTGTAAAGTGATTAATGCAGATAAAACTGCAGAGAAAAAGTCAAGTTTTAGGTAAGTTTCTTGACTATAACTTAATGTCTGAAAACACAGTTTACATAAGGATGTTTTTCTGTCTTCCTTTAATGGAAATATAAAACATAAGCACTAGTGAATACACATGCTACTTACTTTTTTTTTATCATAAAACACTGAGGTGCTGCTGGCAAAAGGTAGAATAATTTAAAGTTTCTTATCTCCAAATTTTAAATTCTCTTGAAAATTTGATTTTAAAAATTAAGATACAACCCTGGCTGGTGTGGCCCAGCTGGTTGAGTGTCTTCCCATATACTGAAAGGAAGGCAGTTCTATTCCTGGTCAGGGCACATGCCCAGATTGTGGGTTCAATCCCCAGTTGGGATGCATACAGAAAGCAACCAATCAGTGTTTCTCTCTTCACATCGATGTTTCTCTTTCTCTCTCTCTCTCTCCTTTCCTCTCTTTAAAAAACCAATAAAAATATAGAAAGCCATTAAGATACAGAATAGAAACTCATTACCTACAGTTAACTGTTACCATAAGCAATAAATCAGGAAAAGCAACTAACCTGAAGACAGATAACACTTGTACTTTCAGGCCAGAAAAAATAATAAAGTTTAAAAATACTGGAAAAGTAAAGGTAGTTATCCAAGTTCTGGTTATTAATTGTTTTTGCTTTTATTCCTTAAAACAATTAGAAATAGAATGTTAGATATATAGCATTCAAAGAGGTAGGAACTCTATTAAATACTTTTAATAAGGTAAAATTGTAAGCTAAGCTAAGTGAATATGTCTTTAATAAATAGTGACATCCAAAATCAGACAAGTCCATAAACGCAGTTTTTTCATTCTGGATCAAACTGAAATAAAACTTGACTGTGGCTCATCCTCAATTTTCATATGGTTTAAAGTTTCTAGCTCTAGATGGCTTTGTGTTACAGCAGGGGTAACACAAAGGATTTTTGTGGTAATAAAGCAGTTCTGTATCCTGATTGTGGTGTAGTTACATGAATTCACATCTGTCATAAAATTGCATAACACTACACAAATGAGTGCACTACAAAACTGGCAATATCTGAAAACTGATCTCTGGGTTGCATGTTGTCAAATTCTGGGGTTATAATATTGTACTATATTGATACATATGTATTCCGGATATAGTGATATTGCACTATGCTCATGTAAGATTTTACTACTGAGGGAGACTGAGTGAACATGGGGTATCTCAGCAACTTCCTGTGAACTTATATTTCAAAAGTTTTTTTTAAAACTGGCCAAAATTATATTCCCTAAAATTTCAGTACTTGAAAAATGTTTCAAAAATTGAGACATTTCATGCTCTAGATTAAAGTGAACATTTAACACACTGCCCACCATAATATCAGTTCTCAAACTTAAAGTTTAAAATCTGATAAGGTCTTTTATATACTTTTAAATTAAACTGAAAAAAGGTATTTTTCATATCAAAATGTCCATGAGGCTTTAGTGAAAACCATGCACAACTTACAGCGCCAGGGATAAGTTCAGGCATATCCAGCAGAACTTGGAAGCCTGAGGAAGTGCCACAGCCGACAGTGCAGCTGCATGAGGATACCTGCACTGTGGCTGTGCGAGAGAAACCAAGGTGCTTCCGGCCCCAGAGAAGGTGACCATGCCCATGACACTGACACAGCACCATTATTTGAAGATCAGAGCTGGGTCACACATTTTCAACTAAAAATTGTCTCCAGACAACTTCAATTAATTTCTAGCTTCTTTTTTCTTAAATATCTAATCTCATGACTATTTAGGAAGTGGGAAAAGGACTTGCAGACAAATGACACTAAACATATTATATTAATATTATATAATCATTTCAAAAATAGGTTAGCATCACACTATATACACACCCCACCATAAAAAACAAAAACAAAAACAAATATACACACAAAGAAACTGGATTAAAGATTTAAATGTTAAAAAACGGGGGGCAAAAAAACCCTAAGGTTAGAAACTTCTATGAATGACAAAAGTAAAAACTATAATAAAGGGAAAAAATGCCTATCTGAATACATAAGAATTTTAAGCTCCACATTAGAATACAAACTAAAAAAATGTAATCTAACATAGGGGGAAGTACTTCCAACATGTATGACTGATAATAATAATCTTACTGTTTTAAAATAGGATTTCTAAATCAAAAGCACACTTTTTCTCATTAACCTAATCACTTTCCACTCCAAAAGCACAGACAATATTTTAATTAATTATTAGCCAGGTTTGTGCTAAGCACTTTACATCTATGTGAAGTATGATCTTCACTGAACTGAAATAACAAGGTGCAGAGAACTGGTTTTATATAAGATGCCTCTGTATTAACAAAGCGAAGAACTATAGTCAAAATATTGTAATAACTATGTATGGTGCCAGGAGAGTAACAGACTTATCAGGGCATCACTTCATAAATTATATAAGTGTCTAACCATTATGTGGTAGACCTGAAACTAATGTAAAATAATAATATATGTCAACTGTAATTGAAAAAAAATAATTTTTTTAAGCAGAGATTACTCTGGCCAGTCATGGATTTAATTCCCAGTCAAGGCAGGAGGCAGCCGATTAATGTTTCTCTCTCACATCGATGTTTCTCTCTCCTCCTCTCCCTTCCTCTCTCTCTAAAATCAATAAAAACAGCCCGGCTAGTGTGACCCATGCACCAAGAGGTCACTAGTTTGATTCCTGGTCAGGGCACATGCCCAGGTTGTAGGCTCAATCACCAGTTGGGGGCATGCAGGAGGCAGCCAATCGATGTTCTCTCTTATCAATGTTTCTCTCTCTCTCTCTCCCTCTTCCCTTCCTTTCTCTCTAAAAATCAATGAAGAAAAAAAAATTTAAATCAATAAAAACATTTTTTTAAAAAGCAGAGATTAAGGTGACTTCAGTAATTCAACCTTCTTCACTGGTTCACCACTAAAAACAGTAGGGTGAAAATAGTGGTGAAACCATTCTCAGTTAAAACAGTGGTTGTCAGTCGTTGGTTTTATAACAATAACCTGAACCTCACTGCCAGGCATTCAGGTTTAGCAGGTCTGGACTGGGGCCTGAGCACAGAATTTTTCCCAAAGTTCAAAATTGGCGAAGGGGGGGGGGGTCCCTCAGAATTTAAATGATCAAAATCATCACCATATTAGCTATAATGTTATTATGCCAAGCACCATACTTAGTAGTCTATATAAGCTATTTCATTTCAATTCTCACAAACAACCCAATATCATAGGTACTTTTATCTCATGAGGAAATGTGTTCAAGGTTAGTATGGCCAGTAAGTGGCAAAGCTGAAATCTGTGTCTTCCAAACCCTTATTCTTTCCACTCTATGTTCTCAGTGTAACCTACTAGTGTTCACAGGATCCAGCAGAAATAACAACTTGATGGCCTAACCAGGTCTGAAAAGGAGCACAAAGTGACGACTTCCCTGTGTGAAAATCAGTACACAAAAGGGCATGGACAGTCCAGAAATAGGATCACTGAAATGCTTAGTGTTTGTTGATTCCCCATGACCAATATGCTATGTGGCCACAACAAGATGAGAGCCTGGTAATCACTGTCAAAATTCATCAATGAAATGTGAGAATTTAATCACTCTGAGTAGCTAAAGTCACAAAATGATATATAACTCCTTTGTAGAACTGCTGAGTCCTGGCAATAATAACTGTTTTAGATCGAATACCTTAATACTGGCATTTTGTCTCATGCTGAATAACTTAAAAATTTCTCTATGAGGAAGAACCACTGCATACCAGCATTCCCCTCCTTTGAGGCACTACTCCTCTCCAACACCAATCCTGTTATTATCTCCACCACAGGGATGTGCAAATGACAGAGCCAGGCAGAGGTCTTCATTCCAGGCCATAATGACTTACTCCACGAAGGACATGTGATGAAAGCAAGACCAATGAATGCCTTTCCCTGGAATTTTCTGTTTGAGATTAGAGAAGAGACATTGCAAGGAGCACTCCATGAACCAGGCCTGTCTACCGTGGAAGAGAATGAGTGTCCCTAGTCCTTGAGGTTTCTGGAGATGCCTGGGCATTTTTCCTTTAATGTTGTTCCTTTCAGGAATCCATATAAGCCTATAAATATGTTTTGCTCAGGTGAGAAAACTGAAGCAGAGAGGTGGTCAAGGTTTCACAGCAAACAGAGCCAGGATGAGAGCACAATCTTCTCTGACTCTAAGACCTGTGCATTTTCTAAATACCAAAATAATGAAATCAAACAGAATGAACTAATTAGTAATAGATTTCACACAAAAACTGTCCCTATCATTTTAGAGTTTTTACTCTGAAAACTTGGAAGGACCTTTCCAAATTTTTCTGGCCATGGAATTCCATGCAACTAATATTTTCTGTAAGAGCTGACTAATGGAAATTGCTGGGTATAATCCTAAATCCCATGCATTAAAAGAAAAATAGTCTTAATCTTCTAAGTAAGACGGCCTCAAAAAAAAAAAAAAAAGTAAGAATGCACTGATAATCAGGTTCTACAGAAAAAAGGAAGATGCTGTTTGCCTCAAAGGCCCATACTCCAGACTAGATTCTTATCACAGCAGCTTTATAGAAAGAGCACTTGAAGAGCAAGCAAAGGATAAACAGTTTTTAATCCTGGTGATGTCCTATAAACCTTGGTCAAATGATTTAAACACAGGAAGAGAAGTTAAGGATACCTACTCCATATCCCACGGTAGCCAAAAATGTTGCCTGAAGTCTATGAGAAATCTAAAAAGATGTTATAAATGATAACTTCTAAAATTAAAAGAGTCCTGATGTCTTAGGAATTCTCCTGACCTTAATCAAATCATAGGGTAAAAACATGACAATACAGCTTTCCCATGTTGTTCCTCCACCCAAATTTCTTGTACAGGCACATTAGTGAAATGTACTTCACGAGTTTTACAAAGACTTTAGTTTTTTAAAGTTACACCTTTAGTTTTAACTTAGATGTCTGCCCCATTTAAAATGAGGAGTTATGCCCGGCCAGTGTGGCTCACTGGTGGACAGTCCACCCATGCACCAAGAGGTCGCCAGTTCGATTCCTGGTCAGGACACATGCCCAGGTTGTGGGCCCAATTCCCAGTGGGGGGCATGCAGGAGGCGGCCAATCCATGTTCTCTCATCGATGTTTCTCTCTCTCGAAAATCAACAAAGGAACAAAAAATAAAACAAGGAGTTATGTTGCTCAGAGGACCTGTAATGTGTTGACTTTTAACGAACCACAGAAATGATCCCTGAAAGTATAGTCTTACGTGTTGACTTAGTTGACTCTATTCTGACACATCAAACTTAAGATTTCAGTAATGGCTCTATTAAATATTTATTAAAATAAAGGTGCTGCCCTGGCCAGTTTTGCTCAGTGGTTAGAGCGTCAGCCCTCAGACCAGAGAGTCCCGGGTTCGGTTCCCACTAAGGGCACATACCTCGGTTACAGTTTGTCCCCAGCCCCTTATGGGGTTGTGTGGGTGGCAACTAGTCGATGTGTCTCTCTCATGTTGATGTTTCTCTTTCTCTCTTCCTTCCTCTCTCCCTCCCACTCTATCTAAAAAGATAAATGCAAAAAATAAATAAATGAAACGAAGGTGCTTACTTTCTAAATGGCAAATAAAGATGTTTTATTCAAATGAACTGATCAAGCAAATACAATTTATAAAAATGTCACAAAATAAAGTATGTGAGACAAAGCGCTAAAAATGAATGTTACTCTATCAAACTAAAATGCTAATACCATAGTACAATTTCATTCAATGTTTTGATTAAAATGTTGCTTCTTTATAGTTCTAGCCAATACAAAACTAATTTCTTTCCCACGATTTACAATGCTTCACAGTAACATAAACTGCTGCTTTTCATTAAGTATTTTTCATGAGCTCATCCTGGTCTTCAAGTCAAGGCCTCTTCTAGGACAGATAACTGAGAGTTTACAAACCTGGCTCAGGAAATAGTTCTGCTTTTATGAACAGAGTGCTGATGTCCTAGGAATTCGCCTGACTGTAATCAATTCACAGGGTAAAAATATGACAATTTCCATGTTCCTCTGCCCAAACATCCCCTTTCATTTTGGGAATGACCATCAACTCTCAAAAGAATGTGAAACAGCCCACATCTCACTGGGCTCACTCCTGCTTCCAAACCCATACTTTCGATATCCCTTGCCTCTCACAAAGGGAACACTCTGGTCGTTCCCGGAGAGGTGCCCCCAAAGAGAAGAATCTATCGCAAGGAAGTGGAAACGCTCGGATTTTGTTAAGCATTCATAACGCGTTGCATTCTTTTGTCCATTTACATAGCAAGTCGATCCCAACTCTGGCAGTGATTTGTGTAAATCCACTTAAGTCATTCTGGTGCTTTTTAAACATCAATTTCAAAAGCGGGGTCCCTCTATCCCATCTCACAAAAGACGTGAGCATGTTAAGTATTGCTAATCTTCCTTAACTTGCTGTAAGTTTCTGAACAGATTGTTTCCTAAAGAAAAATTCACAATCGGCAAAAATGCTCTGTCCAGGTTTAACCAAACAACGAATAATGACATATGTAAGCGTTAACACACTACAATTAGATGTCCCATTCAGGAGGAGGTTAAAAAAAAAAAGATTGAACGAGGGCGCCAGTCTAATGTTTAAATATCTCAACATGGAAACAAGAGGGAATTCCGACTAGTCAGACAGCAAGAAAGCTTTTGTGCGGCACCTCTGATTTTTCAGAGAATCCTTTAAAAAAAAATCTACTGCCAATTAAAAGTTGAAAATTAATTTCTTCTACTTCAAAGCGCGAATAAGGCATGGGTCAGAAGGCAAACACAAAAGCGCGGGGCGCTCTGCGGCGGGAGCAGCGCCGGGCTCCCCCCGGGTGGAGGGGAAGGAGGGAAAGAGGGACGGGGTCAGAGACCACAGCACAGAAGCGGGAGGCGCGGGGCAGAGCGGCGAGCAGCCCGGCAGGCCGAGCCCCGCGTCCCCGCGTCCCCGCGCCCGCTCGCCCCCCGCCCCCGCCCGGGCTCCGGCCACACAGGAAACGGCCGTACCTGTCCGCCCCGCCGGGATGCGCTGCGGTGGCCGCGGTGGCCGCGCTGCCCGCCCCTCTTGCGGCGCCGCGTCCGCCGCCCGCGATCCAGGAAGCCACTCCGGCCTGCGGCTTCCTACCACCGCCGCCCGCTCCTTCCTCCAGGGACACGGCGAGCTGGCTGAAGGCGTAGAGGAGCGAGCAGAAGCCGCAGGCCAGGCACAGCACCACGATGCGCAGGTAGCGCCGCATCGTGCCGGCCCCACCGCCGCCGCCGCGCCCGCCCAGGCGAACTACAGGAGAGGGAGCAGCACCGCGCAGCCGCGGGCGCTACAAGTCCCTCCTCCGCCGGGGCCCCGAGCCCGCCCGCTCTGCCGCCGCCACCGCCGCGCGCACCCCTGACGGAGGGCGGGTCGCGGCTGGACGCGCCGGCGCACTGAGCGCGAGAGGGCTGGGCGCGCCGGGCTCGGCTCCCGGCGTGAGGGACGTGGGTCCCGCGGGGTCTCGGCGGGGACGCTCACCCCGGAGTCCCGGGCTCTGCATTGCACAGACTTGTAGCGAAATGAATAGATGTTGGAAGTAGCTGACCCAAATTCAAATGACGGCTCTTCTAATTGGTAGTTTGTTACGTTGAGCAACCTAAAGTCTCTGAGCATGTTTCTTCGTCTCTAAATGGAGAGACTATCTTCATCGTGGGATGGCTGTAAAGATTGAATTGCTTAACGCACACAAAATGCCTTTCACTTAGCACATAATAAAGCCATTTTTCAGCTCCAACATCCTCAGAAGGGACTTCCCCCAGCCTCTAAGTTTGCGTAATACTGTTAGAGCCACTTCACCCAGATATCCAATTGCCTTGTAATACTGTTGGGAACGCTTATTTTGCCTCCCAAGGAGGCTGTAAGTGCCCATAAAGCTGAGGTCCTCCCCTTTACTTCTTTTTGACCCTCCTCACAACTCATTTGCATGTCCAAAATAATTTATTATTCTCCCTACAGAGCTTTCTCTTCAGCTATGCATTTCTTCCTCTTTTTTCACTCCATTCACTTATTGAACATTTACAGAGCGTCACTACATGCCAAGTACTGTATGAGTACATTGGGGTATAAAGACGCCTTGTGGGAGTGTGGGGTGCGACAGTGGATACTTGTAGGTGCAATACAGACATCAGGGTGTAAGCCTGTAAAGGTGTGGGTACACACACAAAGGAGCAATCAGTCCTACGGTAGGTGTGATCAAGAGAAATTTCATAGCAAAGGTGGCCCTAGAGTCTTAGGGAGGATTGGGGGCGGGGAGGCTGGTGTTAAGGGAATTAATTCCAGGCTGGAGGAATTAATGAAATAGGCTCTTGTTTAGGGAACTGCGAGAAGTTTGATACCACCAGCTAAATGAATGCAAGAAAGAATATGATCAGCGATAAGACTAGAAGTTTAAAGAGCCAGATACTTGAGTGCCTTGTTTAGTATACCAAGGAGTTTGAATTTAATCTAACAGATAATGGTGAACTACTGAAAGGTTTTTGTTTTTTTTTTAATTAGGAAGTAACATGATCACATTTGCCTTTTAGGTAGCAGATTCTGGCTGGAACAGAGATTGAGACTGGAGCCGGAAAGCAGCTACAGTACCAAAATGTGAGGGAAAGAAAGCTTTAAACACACGCATACACACACACTTCAGGGAGAAAAAAATCAGGCTGTTAAACTGTTCAAATTGTATTTGGAGCTTTGAAGAGGTTGGCCATGAGAAATAGGTGGAAAAGTGCTAGGTAATTTAACAATAGTTCTCCATTTGTAATTCCTACACCAAAAAAGTGCTGGCTCTGAGACCATGGAGATGTCACTGAACAAATTTAAGCCTGTTTCCTCCTCTCTAAAAATAAAATGTCTTGCCTTACCTGACTAAAAGAAAAAGAAAAACTAGCATTCTGTCAAGATGTGTGAATAGAATGAAAACATACACTTATTCATCCAATAAACATTTATTGAATATATATTCTACATGCCAGACACGGGGCTAGAGTGAACTGCCCTCAAAGGGGAGACAGGCAGATAAAACGACGACAATATTAACTTAATCCTTCCACTACACCTTACAATTCTTAGAGAAATAAAGATCAACACAAGGAGATACAGAGCAATAATAAAAGCATTTATAAGAAAGGAAAATAGATTTTGAGAGAGAAAATTAAAGGATATGTACCAAGAAATTAGAGTAAGAGTTAGTACTCAAATAAAGGATATTTAATATAAAGAGATGCTAACTATAACTGTTCTTTATTTAAAAAATTAAATGTTGTAAAAATAAAGAATAATTTAATGACCCACAGATTGTTAAAATACTGGAATGGCAGTTTTCATTTCTGCAACAATTTATGGGAAGATCATATCCAGAAGAATAATCATCCATTTACTTGACATCAGGGTCCTGGACCATATCATCCCTTTAGGTTCCTTTTAATCCTGTAATTAAAAAGGAAATTCTGTTGAAAAAGTATATAAGGTATTCCAAAAATAGAAATGATTTTTGTATTACTCACACACTGTCTTAAGTGGTTATCTTGGAGTATAAGGAGCTGTGTGATCATCTCATCATTTTTAGGATTCACATTACATTTTCATATTCCTAAAATTAATTTTAAATTATTTTCAATGATTTAAAATATTTTAATGTCATAGTAGTTAGGTATTTTATTCATTTACTATAAGTATATACATATTCCTAAATCTATTTTTTTCATATCTAGACCACCCTCTTAGTTCTCTAATGACAGGCTGGCTATATCCACATTTATTATCAATTTTGATCTTCCTTTCATCCTGTCAAAAATATTAATTTAGGCAGACAAAAAGAAATTTAAAAACAGCATATCTGTTGTTTAAATTATGGAGCTAGCTATCTTTTCCATGACCTGGAAAACTGTCAGATCCAAATCTCAAGAATGTTATATTCAAAAGATTAATCTTGATTTTTCTTATAGCTCCCAGTACATGTTGGGTATATAACAGACATTCAGTTAATGTGTTTTTATTTTTTATGTCTTCTCTAAGTCACTCTAGACTAGACTTGGGATCCTGCTCAGTATTTCCTTCCCACCCCTGGCTACATTGAGTACTTGATTCTTAAAAAAAGACATCCTATTGGAAAAAAGGTAAAGTCTATACCTTTTCAGAGTAAAGTTCAAAAACATTTTTACATAACTTCCACTTTATAACGGTCTATGCATAATCTAATTTAATCCTTATGACATTTATATGAAGTAGGAGATATTTTATTCTTTTAAATAACAAGGAACCAGAAATTCAGAGAAGTTTATTAACCACATCACAAGTAATGAAGATCTATAATTTGAATGAAAATCTTTGAGGGTACAATGTCCATATTTGTTTTTTCCATTATACCATACTATCTCACTTTGAACAAATAAATGCTAAACTGAGTAATGCAAATTTAAAAAAAGAAAAAAATTAATGTTACATGAAAACCTCTTAGACTGATCTTGAGGGTTAAAACAAATAAAATTTACAACCTCAGAAATACAGAGCACAAAGAATCAGAATCTCAGACTGAAAGTAAAAATTATTCTCTCCTCCAGTAGGCTCTAGTGAAATTTCTTCATTTTCCACAGTCCATTTCCTAGAGACTGTTGGACTGAAGGAAAAGGTTGGAAAATAATGGACTCAGTTTAAACAAACAGTATTTCATTTTAAGAGTTCCTTCAGACCAGTAAATGTGGGAAAAAGGGAGGGTTGAGAATAGAATGAAAGAGTAAAAAACTCAGCTATAGGCCACGAGATTGGAAAAAGTGGTAGTAGAAACCCAGTGAATAGGACACCTTAGCTCCTATATGACCCCAGAATTTAGCTGGCATTTCTATCCGTAAGGGAGAGAGTACGGAGGAGTTAGAGTAGGAAAGGGCGTAAGGACTATCCTGTGAACTATCCCTGTATTTCTCCGTGGTTCAATCTTCATTCCCATTATTACAATAGATTATAATCTATTATAATTATAAACAAGTGCTGTCAGTAAAATTAAAAGCTAGATTTGCAAGGAAATTTAGACATGGGAAAATGAGAATTAAAAATCACATGCACAAATTCTCCTAACCCAGGTTACCAAAAAAATCAAAGACTGAAAATAATCAAGAAATCTAATACCATCACACTTCAGAAGTCCAGTACTCAGTTAAAAACATCAGAACTCTTACAGCTACCCATATTCCTTTCTATACAGAACTTACATCACTACATTGATTTTTTCCCTACATTTCCATATTTTATTTTTAATAAAGTAAAAATTTAAGTGTCCCTTAAATTATTTATCTTGTCCTGTACTGGAAACACAAGCTTGTTTGTTGTTGTTGTTATTTACTCCTATTAAAAATCAAAAACTACCTCTTATGTCTAAGGCCAGGTCATTCTGCTCTTGAATTCAGACTACTCTTTTTTTTTAAAAAAAAAAATGCTTCCACTGCCATTTTCTCCTTTAGGAGTTTTCTTCTCCCAAACTAGTTTTAAACAGTATCCCAACTCTTCTCAATCTTACAGACTCCAAAGTAAACACAGGTTCATTCATTGCTATTATCACTATAAATTAAAAGAGGATTGTGAAAATAGTACATATTGAAAAGTCTAACTTAATAAATCTTGGTACCCAGTTTTACTTATTCTCTTGATAAAAGAGTAAATGGAAGCATAAAGATGGTATGGTAACTTTCATCCCCAATCCCTACTTTCTAAGTAGGTCAGCAGATCTAAACCGAGGTGTAATCTCAAGACCTGCCAAACTCGTATATTATTTCCACTCATCAGAAATTCCAGCTGGAGAGGCACCACTTTACTGGCTTCTTGCCCCCGAAAGTTCCTGTTGGGGCTTATCCTTACACCTTAAAATAAAGCAGTTATCTTTTTTAAAAAAGTATTACTATTGAGCCTTGTTTACAGAAGAAACTTGAGAAACTTCATAAGGACACAAGGAAAAACGTAAGTAGGCAAAAATCGGAATCTAGAAAACTAACAAGTTAGAATATAGATATGCAAACAATTGAGTCCTACATAATTATTAAAAGTTTAATTTTAATTTGAGATTTCTCACAGCTAAAACAAAAACTGAGGACAATCCATTAATAATTTTTATTGTCTATAAGAAAAAGGCAGATTGATTTCTCAGAAGTAAAGCTTTTCCTGAAACAGGTCTGAATACAATTTCTCATTTAGATTGAGTGACGTAATGTTCCCTCAATAATCTTTCACAAAAAGGAAATAGCAAACCCCGTTCAGCTGTTTATTGATTCTTAAAAATTAGTATGGGAAAATGATGAATAATTTCACATTACATGGCTTAAAAAGTTTTAAACTTTTGAAAAATCCAAGCTGGAATAATGAAATGGTGCTGGCTAAAACTACTTGTTACACCCACCATTACCAGCTGCAACTATCAAG